CCTGCCAAGATGAGTTTTTTTTTTTCAATCTTTACTTTTCTCTATTACAAATTTCACTTTGATAATCCTTCGTATCATAGTATTATTTGGCAACATATAAGATGTCTGTATGTTTAGAGTGCCTGAGCTGGGCTTGTTGACTGGTAAACTATGACTGAAGATTGTCTGGAGGGAGGTCATTTTATGGGATACTCCATAATGTCACTGTATTAAGGTCTTTTCTATGGAGACATTCAGCTTCTTTAGAAGAGAAACTTCTGCTGGTCTTTAGGAAACTATACATCTGGCTGTTGACATCTTATATGCTGGCAGGCTCTGGGGTCTTGCCTACTCTGTACACAGACATTTATCCAGTATCCTTAATTGCACCCCCATGATTTATTGTCTGTTGTACGAAGCATCTTGAATGCTGAGTTTCTCCAGGGTTATATCTCTCTCCAACTTGATAAATCAGTTCTTATTCTGTCTTTCCACATTCATTTGTCTTAAAAAGTGCATTACAATCTCTTGTCTGACTGAAAGCCCATCTCCAGTTCTCCTGGTACTTGTGGGTTTATACCTGTTTTATTTCTTCACCCTCATTTTAGTGAGATTTTTAAAGGAAGTAGTGATAAAATGTGCAGCTGTTCCTCAGAAGCCCAAGTTCATCTATTTTGCAGAGTGCTATTTATTATAAGGTAGTCATTTGTCTTCATTTGAAAATGAGGTATTTGTTCCTACCTATCCCTTCTTTTCCTTTCCTTTATATTTCCCCTCACCTTCTGTTTAAGCCTTGACCATAGTACAGATCAGAAATAGACTTTTGAATCATTTATATTAGTTTTAAACAGTTTTGTGCTCACCTATTCTAGTTTTATGAGGCAACTAAGGTTTAATGTCTCTCTAAAGGAAGCAAAATAAGTTATAGTTAAATTTCACTGTTTTTACTTTTAATGCACTTCATTTTTTTCTGTGGGTCAGTGGTTCTGTTAGTTCCTTCATATTGTAGCAGCATGCACAAAACATAGTACCCTCATATTAGAAATCCATTTTTAAACATTTCATAGTTTTTTTTCAAATCTCATCAACATCCTTTCAATAAGTTAAATCAATTGACAGAACTAAGGAGGAATACTAAGATCACCATCTTTGCAGAAGACTTTTAGATGATTCTTTTTGTCCTTTTTTTTGTTTTCATTTTCAGCATTCCTTGGAATTGGAGAAGCGGTTATCATTTTTGACATCCACAGCTACACTGTTCAAGTGTTCCTTCTACCTTCAAGCCATCACTGCATCTCTCCCCAATCACAAAAACAAGTCTACCACATATTTCAAAAGATATTTATGACTGCCTTTCAGATATCTGAAATTAGCAATCATCATTGCCTTAATGCATCTGTCCTTTCTCTATTGTAGTAACTAAACTGGAACAGCATGTTTTAAACATGGCACAACCTGTACAGAATAAAAAGGGGTTTACTATCTCATTTGTTCTAGGTAACTTCTAACTCAGACTCAAATCAAATTTGGCTTTTCAAGAGTTACACCACATGGATGGCTTACATTAAATGTGTTCTTTCCCTATATCATAGCATCTTATTTATAACATGCAATCTTTGTTAAGCTTTTTATCCCTGAACTTTTTTTGAAACATATGTGTAAAAATTTGTTGTATTTAGAAATGTTAACCTTTTGGTTTCAGCCTATCCTTTCAAATTTCAGAAATTCTCTTGGACTCTACTTCAGAAGATACTCTTTTTCATTAATGCCAGCTTACAAATTTGAATCTCCCATATTAAGTATCTTTATTTAAGTCACAGATGACAGTATTTAAGAGGGCTTCCCTGGTAGCTCAGATGGTAAAGAATCTGCGGAGGGTCAAAGATAAAGACTTGTGGCTATTACAGCAATATCCATTCAGGTTGATGTCTATCCATCAATCAGATTATATTTGACTTTAATTGGTCAGCCAACTACATCAGCATAATTGTAATATTTTTTCAACTGCTATTTCTTCATGAAGACATAATTTTAAAAAGTTAGATGTCTTGATAAAGTCTATATATTTCCTGTTCTACCAGTCTAATAAACTTTCCATGAATTTTCTTAAGGTTATTTTGGCACAATTTCTTCTTAGTTAACTCAGGCTATATGTCAGTAGTTAGTGCAAACTGCTCTTAAAACATCTGTTTAATAAGGGTCTTACAGTTTAATATGTCAGAATAAGGACATCTTTGCTTCCTTTTCTTCTCTGGAACCAACCAAAATAAGGAAAATGATATATGAAACCAAAACTCCATCTTTGATGAAAATTGGAAGCATTTTTAACCCTTACCCCAAAATGTAAGGGCTCCCAAACACAGTAAAAATTGGATCAGGGTGAAGAAGACATTGAAGATGCCTGATGTTCTAGATTTCAGGCCAAGAAGAGTCCTAAAACATGGATGGCAGGACCTGAGTGAAAAACAAACGACCTCTGTTCTGAAACAAATGGTTCTTAGGCTGATAGTGAAAACATCCTGGAATACTGTTTGATTACCACATAGTAGTGAGGAGGTAGAGACTGGAAACATTAAAGGGTACAATATTACACATATGCACATAAGCATGCACACATTACACCATACATAGAGGACTTTCTTGTGGGTTATTTCTAAGAATTTATACAGATAACAGATGATGGTCAAACTATTCACTTTCAACTACTTATTCTCAACCACTCACAACTATCCTATTCATTGTCTCAGTCCCTCCCCAAAATGATACTTTCACACATAGCAGTGTTAGTAAAGAACTCCTCTAATACAACTTCAAGTAACAGTTGAAAAAGAATATGTTACTGATGCAAAATATGTTATAATGAGGGCAAAGAACCAATAAAGAACTGCATAACAACACACAAAATAAACAGAATACATGAAAAGCTAAGTCAGCAGAAAAAAAAGTTAATATAAGGAAAAATACTACTACTATAGAAATGAAGGAGAACAGACATGGTGAAAATGTTCAGAGACACAGAAGACAGACTTGAGAAAAATAAAATGGAAAATAACAGTTGGAAATTACTGGAGAATAATGGTAAATAAGGATTACAAAGTTCTATTATATGTATAATTTGTGCTTTTAGGAAGATAACAGAGCAATGGTGTGTTTTAGGAAAGCTTTCCTGAAACAAAGATAGTTGTGAATCTACAGACTTAAGGACATGCTGTCCTAGGAAAAATTCATACAGATAGATCAAGATCTATCCTTGTAAGTGGTATTTGTAAATAAAAGACACATGCATATGGGTTTCTAGGCCATAAAATCATCTCCTCATTATGTGAAAGATTCTCAGAGTTGTTTTAAATTTCCTCATAACAATATTCAGTTCTAGAACCGAAAACAGCAACCAATGTCTATGTAGACATTAGAGAAAGAGAATGCGACCCACAAATTGTACAACAGCCCAAATATAATTCAAGTATAAACACAACTGACAGATAATTTTATACATGTAAGATAGTAGGAAATATGGTTCCCACGAACCATTCCTAAAGAAACTTCCCGAGGATAGCCTTGAGGTAACTAAGCGATGAACATAAAAATGCATGAGGACCATTTTGAGAAGAGAGTCTTTTTAAATGTAGAACTGTGAGTAATAAAATACAGAAATTATGGCTGCATAAAAGCATGTAAATACTATAAAACTTGACGATGTGCAAATAGTTGTATAACAAAAGTTGAGAGATGACAGGGACTGGTAGAAAGCAAAGGTGAGAAGCAGGGTAAGTATAATAATTTCCTTACTTGCAGTGGGTGAGGGATCAACAGACCTGGTTTATAACTGATGAATCAAGCATTAGATGGGTAAATATATTTTAAGGATATAAACATTAACAACTAGACTAAGAATAATAATAAAACCAACCAAGAAATTCCTATGGTAGAGTAGATGGAGGAAGAAGAAATATACTTATTTCTTCATGATTTATAGCAAAGAGTTAATAAATTTTAACTAAATAAATAGTTAAGATATATTCTAAAAATTTTCCAACTCACCAGTCTATATTCTATGGAATCTATTCCTCCAGTTTGAAAAATCTTGATTATGTTTTCTCTTCTCCATGATTCTGGGGCCACATCTGCCCATTCCTTTTAGCATCGTGGGTTAGTCTTCATCTACAGCTAGATATCTCAACTCTTTTAAAGCAGTCAAGGATACCAAACTTGATTTTACTGTATTTATGTTTTTTTATTCCTACCAATTCCAAGAGGTTTATTGGGATTTTTTTCTTTTTTTCCTCATCCATTAATCTAATTAACATTTATTCAGCTTTTACTATGAGTCAGATGCTGTACATGGATGCTAGCTAGTTAGACACATGCAGACAAGTCCCTGCCCTCAAGAAGTTCAGTCTAGTGAGGAAGCAGATAAATAACTCTAATGCAAATAAATGCTTTTCATATCATGAGCAACCTCACCCACCCCCAGAAAAGCTGAAGCTATCTCATGATTCTGGAAAGGTTCTATGGAGAAAATAGCATTTCATGTGGTTCTTAAAGACTGAGCAGGTATTTATCAAGCAGGAAAATAAGAAAAGAACATTCCAGGTAGAGAGTAAAAATAAGCAAAGACATAGAAGGAATGATGATCACTTTTGTTTGATGGTAATGGGAACATATTGCCAAAATGAGGGGCAGAAGTGGCCCTAGAGACTGTTCTCTGGGTGGAAGATAAAGACCACTCTTCTGGGTGACTTTGTAAGTACAACATATTCCCCTTGGGTTCAGCAGTATCACACTTAAGTTTGATCCCTCACCACAAGACATCAGCCCTCCATGATACCGACCCTCTTTTCTTTGCCCCCAGCAAACACTCCACACTGCCAAGAAGCACTCCAGTTGAGAATTGGATTGATGACCCCAGTGAATAGCACACAGCCCTGGCCAGTTCCCACAGGCTGCAGGCTGCCCACTCCTGGTTCCAATACAGTTCTCTCAGGGAATGCTTCCCAGCCCCCACCTTTCCTGTATCTTACCTTCATCTCCAGGGCCTCTGGCACCTTCTTGCCTTCCCAAGCCCAACTCCGCTTTGTGAAGTAGTTCACGGTCGCAAACTCAATCAGCGCAGAAAATACAAAGGCATAACACACGGCTATGAACCAATCCATGGCCGTCGCATATGCCACTTTAGGTAAGGAGTTTCTGGCACTGATACTCAAGGTGGTCATGGTGAGAACAGTGGTGACACCTTGGGAGAGAGAAAATAAGAACTAGTTGCCACTAAAAGACATTGAGTGTACTGATGATATCACCATCTTCCTCCTTGAAAGGAGGAGCTAAACCCCACCCAAAATGGTCTCTTTAAAGTAAAAAAAAAAAAAAAACAAAAAAAAACAGATAATGTCAAAATGGAATGGTTCTACATAGTGACCACCCCATCCCAATTATCACAGGAATAGAAATCTCCAGTATAGTACTTAAGAGTTGCCCTTTAACCTCAGCTTAAACATTTCCATTGAAGACTAGGTTGTAGGTAACTTATTTCAGTGTAATAGAGTTTTCTAATTAGAAAAGTCTACCTTATGCTGAAACCTGCCTTCTTCTAACTCCTAATCCACTGACTGATCTCAGAGGTTCTGTCTGGAGACATAAGAAAGAAACCCTGCTTTTTGCTTTCTGGGACAGGACTTCAGAAAGTTGGAGAGAGTGGCCATGGTTCCTTGTAAGTCTGTTCATCTCTAGAACGTGGCCAGCTCCTTCTTTTGTTTCTCCTTCTCCATTCTGGTAGGTGCCTTCTCAATAGACCAGAACTTAGGCTAAGACTCAGGACATGGTCTGAAACTAGCTGGAGTTTCATATCATTTATTGTGGACATTATTCCCCTAATAACACAACAAACTATTGTAGAAAAATTGTCCTTTACCTACATCACAGTCTAGGACCTATTGAATTCATGAACAACCAAAACTATTCTCACATCTATTTCTTATGAGTTTTTGCCAAACCAGAGCTTGGTTTTAAATCAATTGATTCTTTTTCTTGGTGGTATTTATTAACCTAAGTTTAAGACTTTCTTTTACTCACTTTTAAATTATATTAATTTTTTTCTAATTGTTCATAGTTTAGATATGTATATGAACTATATAGTGCTGTGGTTAACAATATGAGCTTTAGAGTCAAGACTCATGGCAAATAGATGGGGAAACAGTGGAAATAGTGGCTGACTTTATTTTTGGGAGGCTCCAAAATCACTGCAGATGGTGATTGCAGCCATGAAATTAAAAGATGCTTACTCCTTGGAAGGAAAGTTATGACCAACCTAGACAACATATTAAAAAGCAGAGACATTACTCTGTCAACAAAGGTCCATCTAGTCAAGGCTGTGGTTTTTCCAGTAGTCATGTATGGATGTGAGAGTTGGACTAGAAGGAAACCTGAGCACTGAATAATTGATGCTTTTGAATTGTGGTATTGGAGAAGACTCTTGAGAGTCCCTTGGACTGCAAGGAGATTCAACCAGTCAATCCTAAAGATCAGTCCTAAGTGTTCATTGGAAGGACTGATGCTGAAGCTGAAACTCCAATACTTTGGCCACCTGATGCGAAGAGCTGACTCATTTGAAAAGACCCTGATGCTGGGAAAGATTGAGGGCAGGAGGAGAAGGGGATGACAGAGGATGAGATGGTTGGATGGCATCACCAACTCAATGGACATGAGTGTGGGTAGGCTCTCGGAGTTGGTGATGGACAGGGAGGCCTGGTGTGCTGCAGTTCATGGGATAGCAAAAAGTCAGACATGACTGAGTGACTGAACTGAACTGAACTGTAGTCACATTTTAACAATAATATTATAACAATAATTTCATCATTGTTAGTAAGAGTATTCATGTTATTGTTTTTTAGTTGTGAAGTCGTGTCTGACTCTTTTGCAAACCTATGGATTGCAGCCCACCAGGGTCCTCTGTCCATGGGATTTCCCAGGCAAGAATACTGGAGTGGGTAGCCATTCCCTTCTACAGGGGATCTTCCCAACCCAGGGATCGAACCCATGTCTCCTGCTTTGGCACGTGGAGTCTTTACCACTGAGCCACATGGGATGCCCCAGTCTTGAATACCTACACTCGAAGTAGGAAGTCCTGAGTTCTACCACTTACTGGTTTTGTATCTTGGGCAATTCCCTTAATATCTCCTTGCCTTCATTCTTCCCATCTATATGAATATCCCCTACAGTCTCCTCCAGAATTTTGATGGTGCAGTTGTATACCCAAATCCATCCAGAATTTAGTAAGAAGGAATAGTCAGAACCTCTTTCTAAGTGTTGGATTCCTCAAGAAGATGGAGAGTGTGACTGTTATGAGCTTGGGTCAAGTTGGGTATGGAAGGTAGTCCTAATGGGGTGAGATATGTTATATCAAAAAGCAAGCAGTTAAGGCTCTACCCAGAGAGTCAGCCACGTGTGCTGCAGTCTCTGGAGCCTCCTTTCATATCTTGATTCTTTGAGTACCTTACTTACACATTTACGATATAAATCAAAATCCAGACTGGCAAAAACTTAATGCAGTTTCAACAAAGAGACCCTAAAGGAGCACCTTTACACAAACTTAAGCAGAGAATTGTCTAGGCTGATTAGCGAAAAGACAATTTAAGCCCTGTCAGGAATCAGCCATATAGCTAGGACCTCATAACAAAATCTGAATTTGTAGCCTGGTAAGCTCTGAGAATGGATCTAAGGCTCTGATCACACTGAGCAAGTGATTCATGGAACAAACAATTTATCTCATTTATGGTTATCAGCAAATGCAATTGTCCACACTGGTACATTCTTAACAGTGCCAAACGCATGGATCAAGAGAACCATACTGCAACACAAGTATTTAGGTGTCATATCTCAGTAGAGGTGTTTAGAGCTCTAGCCTCTACGGCTTAATTAAAACTGTCATCTTGTGAAGAGTTCTTAGCTAGTCAGAGCTGGTAGGGCCCTCAATCAAGCTTCTGGTGGCAAAAAGGTTTGGCATTTTAAAAGATAACCCTATATGCAAAACAGAAAAAGAGACTCAGATGTATAGAACAGACTTGTGGACTCTGGGAGAAGGCGAGGGGGTGGGATGTTTCAAGAGAACAGCATTGAAACATGTATATTATCTAGGGTGAAACAGATCACCAGCCCAGGTTGGGTACATGAGACAAGTGCTTGGGCCTAGTGCACTGGGAAGACCCAGAGGGATGGGGTGGAGAGGGAGGTGGGAGGGGGGACCGGGATGGGGAATACATGTAAATCCATGGCTAATTCATTTCAGTGTATAACAAAAACTACTGTAATGATGTAAAGTAATTAGCCTCCAACTAATAAATAAAAAAAACAAAACAAACAAACAAAAAAAAAATAAATAAAAGATCCAGGACTGCCACCCAGGGCTTCTATTTCAAGACTCTTCTACAAAGTTTTTCTGTGACTTTCTGAGGACTTTTCTGTCCTCTTCCTTCCTTTGAGTACTTCTAAAAGTCTAGTATGAAAAAAAAAAGTCTAGTATCCTTCTTTGATAATGTATGTCTGTCCCACCCAACTAAGGTTGCTTGAGATAATGCAAGATAATCTCCCCATCTCAAAATTCTTAACTTAGAACAAATCTGAGTAATTAGCCTCCAACTAATAAAAATAACTGGGAAAAAAATAAAATGACAATGGAAAGAGAAAAAAAAAGAACAAATCTGTAAAGTCCTTTTGCCATATAAGGTAACATTCACAAGTTCCAGAGATTAGAACATGGGTATCACTAGGGACCATTATTAAGCCTACCACAATCCTAGTTATAACCCTTAATCTCACTCAAGCTGCCTTTCTTGTGTAACCTTAAAACTCAAACTCTTATCTACCAAGACAAGTAGTCCATCCATTGATCCATTTTCCTGCCACGACAGTACCAGCTCATGTCATTAACATTCCAGTTTTCAGTTCCTTCTTTCATTTGGGCCACTGAGTGTTTTCTTTAATTTATTATGAGCTCAGATATTAAAAAAGAATGTTTTCTATGTTTTATCTGTTATTTTAGGGATTTTGCACTGGAAGATTTTTTCAAGGTATCTAGTTTGTAACATTTCCAAAAATTGGGCAAACTTAATCTATTCCTATATAGATTATGCCCCCCAAATTCATTAGAGCTGTTCTTTTCAAATCACTAGCAACCAAGCATATCATGATCCCAAATACAGTTTTTATCTGCATTTTACCTAAACACACAGAATTCATCCCAGTTGATTATTCCCTGCTTCTTGAACACTCACCTCTTTTGATTTCCATGATATCATACCCTTTCTCATTTTTTTCTTACTTTACAGATTATTTATCTTTCTCCACTACTGTTGCCTCTTCTACCTGACTTAAAATGCTTCTTCTTTCTGAAACATCATTTACTCTTTAATTACACAGTATAGCTTCAGGATCTCTGTAGGAAACATTGGCCTCCTTTGTGAGTACTCAGCATATCAAAGTATATGGAGACAATTTAGTGGATTAAGAGTCAATTAATGTTTCTCTCCTACAAAAATCTTACAATGAGAAAAACAGACAGAAAACAGTTTATGTGCTTTAAGTCTCTCACGGAAAAGTGTTAAAGCTATGCAAATCTCTTCCTAAACAACAGTCAATTCAGAGTGAAGAAAATTTCTCTAATTATAGGTATTCTTGTAGAAACCTTCAAACTTTGTGTAGCTCTTACTGAATATCAGACAATTCATACTTTCAAAAAAGGCTAGAGAGGAAGCAGAAAAGTCAGATGGTCATATAAAAAGCTGGGCCATAAAAAAACCCCAATCTACTTCTCTGTCTTCAGCTTAGTTTCTCCCCTTCCCTTTCTCCAGCTCTGCCCACTAATTTCCTCTCCATTTCACTGAAAGTTCCATCCCTCTCCAGCTCCAGAAGCAAACCTGACTGAGATAGGAAGCATTTCAGTAAACCTAATGTTCCAATACTCTTCTTATTCCCACTTCCTTTTAATAATTCAGTTGCTAAACACACCAAGGTATGATGACTTAGTTACTAATGCTAAGCTCAGGTGTTTCTCCCATTCACTACAGTAATGATTCTTCTACCATCCTTACCCCTGACTCTGACTGTTCATCATAACACTTTGCAAATGTCCCCTGACCCTATTCTTCATAAAACAACACTCACCAAAGACCGTGCGGGCAGGGACAGACTCTCTGTTGAGCCAGAAAGACACTTGTGACAGGATGACAGTCATGATACATGGCAAGTAGGTCTGGATCACAAAGTAGCCAATTTTTCGCTTGAGGTGGAAGTGGGTTGTCATGACGACATATTCTCCTAGAGAGAGTAAAAATTAGACATTATTGCAGTCAAACATTGTCGGATCAAGGTGGGCCCCAATTCAGTTCACAAAGCTCCTTAACCTTATACTCAGAACAAGACATTCCAGCACCTCTCAGGTCTGTGTAACCAGATGTCTTTAATAATCATGAAGAAGTACAGAGGTGGGTTTTTGTTTTTGTTTTTTTGGTGAAAATGTTACCAAACACAAATCCATGTGACCAACACACAGTGAGGCCAAACAATACTAAAATGTCAGAGCTTGGCACAGAGAAAGGTTTATTGCAGGGCCATGCAAGGAGATGAGTGGCTTATGCCCTAAAAACCTTGAACTCCCAGAAAGCTTTCAGCAAAGCCCTTTTATAGGAAAGGTGAGGGACAGCCATGGTTTGTTGTTACAAACTTCTTGTTGTCAGATCCTTTGTTCTTGAGGTGAAGTCACAGTCAGGTCACCATGTTCCTATAAACCTTCACCAAAACAAATGTTATTCTCTGTTCTAACAAGAACAGGCAAGGTCCCAAGGTCAACTTTCATCCTTCGGGCTCCAGGCCTGGCTAAGAGGAAGGGGTCACTGCATGGATTGGTTACCCTGCCCAGCAGCGTTCATCCAGCCCCCAGTCTGCATTCTCTTGCCAGTGCCCTGGCCCAGCTGAAGAGGCAGATCTCAGCTGGAGGTGCCCTCAGGACTAAGTCTTCAGACCCTGCCCAGCCATCATCACCAAAGGAGCCAAAATGTGCAGGACTGAACTGGCCCTCAAGCTTTTTTTTTAAACTGGAGGGAATCTGAGAACTCCATGGACTGCAACCTATGAAGACACTGCCACCATTAGGCCACAGACAGGGGAAGAGGTTTACGGCTGCTTTGAGGCCTGGGCTTGGAAAATGGGTGTCTGTAGCGATGACTTGGAGCTCTGTGGGACACAGCCCTCTGCCTGTCCCCAGGGGGCCCCCAGCTCACCCACTGACCTGAAGCTGAAGTGCCTGGAAAGAAAGCTGAGATCCGCCTCTCACTGCACTCTCTGCCACAAGGACACCTGCAAGCTGACTACTGGCTGAGCAGGCTCTCTAAACACCCTGGTAAAGCTCTCATGTTAATGGCTGTGTGCCTGTCCTGCCCCTGTTATATCCTAGAAGGGCACTGTAGGGGCCTGGATGACAGCTGAACTGAGGGGTCTGTACCATCCAGTAGCAGGTGCCTGGTGTGTGAGTGAGCAGAGGCTAGCATCTCCAGCCCCAAATCCCGACACTTGTATTGAGGTAGAGGGACAATTTGGGGGAGGTATCACATCCTAGATCCTAGTAGGGTAGCCAGCTGGCCCATCTGTCCAGGCATGTACTGTCCCACTTAGCAGAGGGTTTGATAGGAGCAGGCAGATCAAGCAGCTGCAATATTGCCTCTGGGGCCGTTTCCTCATTTCCTCCCTGACCTCAGGAGGGAAAATGGCCTTGCTTCCTGGTCTCCCCTCACTGTTGGAGGTACCCCGTACTGTACCTGCAGTGGACCCTTCATGCATCCGACCCAATAAACCCTGCTAGAGCATGACCACTTCTATTACAAGGTCATGATGTTCTAGCCGAAGCGTTTTTAACTGGCCTTTCATGCCGGCAGAGAGAGGGTCTCGTCAATTCATGGTCAAGAGCAGTGCCATATCCACTGATCTGCTGGTCTACCTGTCAGTGAGGCTGCCTCTACCTGTCTGGGTGATCTGCAACAACTCAGACTTGCCCAAGGCGAGAAGCTGCAACAAGTGTGTGCACACCTCATGTTTCCACAGAACACTACTCTGCCAGCCTTGCTTGGCAACTGCCTGGGCGAAGGCACGGAGCACACAAATGAGCTTGTCTCGCTCCCTAGGCATTCTTATCCAGGTCTGTATCTTTAAATAATACCTTAAACTCTGATAACTCCCCAGTGTGTATTTTCTGCCTGGGCTTCCTGCTTGTTATGGTTATGGGTTGAATTGTATCTCCTAGAAATATATGAAGTCATAAACCTGAATGCCTCAAAATGTGACTTTCTTTAGAAAGAGGCATGCTGCAGATATAGCTAGTTAAGATGAGTTCATACTGGAGTAGGATGGGACCTGATCTACTATGACTGATGCTCTCTTATGAAAAGAGAGAGACACAGGGAAATGTGTGATGACAGAGGCAGAGGTTGTAATAGGGACGAGGCAGACACGAGCTATAGCAGCCCCACTCAGCCACTGGTATGCACCACAGTGAGTCCCTCCCCCCTCCCTTCTATACATAAGGAGCCCAAATTTGAACTGATAGAAAATGGTTTTTTTGAGACACTAGTCTGCTATCTTCTTGGTCTGCTAGCTTTTCTATTAAAGTCATTATTCCTAGCCCCAACACCTCATCTCCGATTTATTGGCCTGTTGTGCAGTGAGCAGAACAATCTTAGGCTCAGTAACAAATTTTTGGTGAAACCACCCAGGAACCTTGCTGCTTGTGACCAACAAGCCCTGCTTGGGGAATTTTAGGGTAAGGCCCTAGCAGCTGCCAGAACCATTTGTCCTGAGGATCTTCCCTTCAAAATTCCCTAAAGCGGCACTGGGTGCCTCAGAGCCTGGCTGTTAGAGCAAGGAATCAACATTTGGGAACCGACAGGCTTGATATGGTAGGGTGAGCTGCTCAGGTGTGTACAACTGGAAACATCGTCCCCTCTCAATTTGGGTTTTTCCCTTAAAGGAAAAGCCCATTTGTTCATTTGATCAAGGTACCCTTTTGGAGACGGCAGTTGTTGTTGCTTCCCAGGTGGCATGTGGTAAAGAATCTGCCTGCCAATGTATGAGATGAGAGTTTGATCCCTGGGTTAGGAAGATCCCCTGGAGAAGGAAGTGGCAACCTACTCTAGTATTCTTGCCTGGAAAATCCCATGGACAGAGGAGCCTGGTAGGCAACAGTCTATGGGGTTGCAAAGAGTTGGACACGATTGAGTGACTCAGCATGCATGCACACACGAATTGTTGTCGAACTCTATCTGATTTTTGAACCATTTCTTTCAGTTTTGTTTTGTGTTCACTTGCTTTTGTTTTGCATTTGTTTGTTCCTGTTTTGCCCTCATTCATGATGGACCCTATTTGTGCCTCTGGCATTGGACTTTGCTTGTCCTTTTTATGTTTCGTTGTTCTTGAACTTATAAATACGGGAAATACTCCATCTGTCCCTAAGAAAAGCCCTTTGGGATGTATCTTAAGTAAATGGGCAAAATATAGTTGTGAGCCTATGACTAAGGAACGGATGATATTCTATTGTCATAGTGTGTGGTCCCAATATATGTTAGGATCAGGAGAGCTATGGCCTTTGAATAGCTCACTTAATTATTATACAATCTTGCAACTAGAATTGTTTTGTGAAAGAGCAGGTGAAAATGATGAGATTCTATATGGAGAAGCATTTATGCTAATCCATTAAGAGGAAAAGCAGTCAAATGGCTACTGCCTTATGGTACAGCGGTCTGAAGGGAAAACCGGTTCTCCAAGAGGGAGAGGGAGAAAGCAAGAGTGAGGACATGCTATTTCAAAACTTAAAACCCCCTCCGACCAACCCAGCTCCCCCACTGGCCGAGCAGGATGCACTAACATATGCACTGCCTCCTGTCTCCCCAATTTATGAGAATCAATTAGAAGTTTCTGTTAACCTCCAGGTCACAGGAGCCTGGTTTGTTATCACCATCTAAGACCTGACAGGGCACCCAATTTGGACTGGAAGCCACTTCTGGAGCAGGGCAATCTTCTTTGTGCACATATCCTGTAGAAGGCCTTAATGCAGATGTCCAAAAAGCTGGGTTTCCATGGATACACAAGCCATTCTCAACTTCAGATTTGTTTAATTGGAAAAAAACCATAACCCTACATACTGGGAGGACTCCCTCCATATGACTGAACTTTTCACTTCTATCTTTGACATTCACCAACCCTCTTAGGCAGACATTCACACTTGTATGAAGTTGATGCTTACTGGGGATGAAAGGAGGACGCTCACTGACAAGGCTAGAGAGGAAGCATAGCAGCTTCATCTAGCAGATCCAAATGGAACTTCAGAAGCAAATCTGGCAGTTCCTATTGCTGACCCTGACTGGGATCCTAACAATGGAGAAATGACGCACCTAGAGCATTATAGGAAGTGTATCTTAGCGGCTCTTTGAAAGGGAGTACTTAAGCAAAAGATCTTAAAATAAAATCAGGAGATACACCAAAAACCCTATAAGGATCCATCAGAGTTTCTAGAAACAATTTTTCAAGCTTATAGGTGCTACATTGATGCAGACCCCGAGCTGCCCAAAAATATGAGAATGGTAAATACGGCCTACATTGGGCAAAATGCTTCAGATCTAAGAAGAAAATTACAAAAGTTAGATGGTGCATTCAGAATGAACTCTTATCAATTGGTAAATATTGTTTTTAAAGAGTTGAATAACATGAACAAAGACAGAACCAAGATGATCAAGATTGAATGCCACTTTCCTGGCAGCAGCACTAGATTTCTGGAAGGCAAGTAACCTGAAGAGAGAGGTAAGCCACCACTGGGGAAGGAACAATGTACTTACTGCAAGGAGGAAGGGCTTTCAAAAACAGATTGCCCTAGGCTAAGGAATAAGAAGGAAAGCAATAAAAGAAAGACAGGTGCCTCTCCTCTGGTAGAAAGAGAGGAACACTCTGATGAACAATGAAGAGGCCTGAGAGCTCCCTTGGACCTGAGGCATCCAATTCTAATTTCCCCACAGGAGCCCCAGGTAACTTTGACAGTGGGAGACAAGTTGATTGACTTTCTGCTAGATCTGGGAGTAACATACTCTGTGGTAAACACCAAAGTAGCATAGAAAACATCTCAATCCATCCTGGTCATGGGTGTTTCTAGAGAAGTGCAAAATTATTCTTTCTTACAACCTCTAGAATGCCATTTAGGGGACCTTTCCCTGAAACATGGGCTTCCCAATTGGTGCAAATACAAAGAACCCACCTATCAATGCAGGGGACATAAGAGA